GGTTTAGGGGCCTAGCTCAACCATGAGTTTCAAGGATGGTGCCAGAAGAACTTGCTGGTTGTTAGTAGGGAATTGGGAATTGAGCCATGGCTACCCATAGTAGCCCATATGTGGCCTCACAAAAAAGTAGTTGCCATTCGCTTTTCCATTCCTTGATTCCTGACAGCAAGTCACATGTGTGCAGGAGCTTGATTCTTCCCAATTGTTGCAGTCTGCCCCTTGTCCAAATGCAAATATCTCATCTGCCGGCTTGCGTCTCAAACTCTTGTTACATAGCTCACGAGCCATGGAGGAGACAATCAAGAATTTGCAAAATGAATTAGAAACTTGGTCTATGTTAATTAGGGCTTGTAGAGATGGTAATGTGGAGGCTGAGAAGATTGCCAATCTTAAGGTCGAGGGTCCTAGAGCCCGGACGCTGAAGCCATGGGACTGCCAGATGATGTGCTACATCCTGGAACATGGCAAGAGTATGAATGGCGGCACGGAATGTACTTCTTCTGGGTACGGCGCCTATCTGGCAAGAGGCTCCCTATCAAGTGCTTCGGGTGCGATACAATCATGGATCTCAAGAAATACTACCTCAAGTTCGGCTCTGTAGATCTGCTCTGGAATAGCACGGCTCTTAACAATCATCAGAGAGTCTATCAATGCGGCATTCCCTATGGTGCCGAGGTTATTCTCTATGTCCGTGCTGAAGAAGATGATGATTTGCTCCCTGAGCGTTTCCACGAGGAAGATGCCGCGATCCATGAATGTGAAAGGCAAAATCATTTGGCGTCCCATCGAGCTCTTTGTGATTTCCTTGGCCTCAGCGAAAAAGATGGTGGCGGCAGCGGCAAGGATGGCACAGGTGAGGACGGCAACGACGATGAGCAGCCGGATTCAATTGCCACTAAGTGCTGCTCGGAGTTGACCCAGGTTGTCGCATGAGCACGTGGTTGCGTACTTATTGACTTGAATGGCCGGGCAGACGGGTCGAGGAGGACATGCGCTTACAAGAGTGCAGCCCCTTGCCTGTCAAGCCTTGGCATCCAAGACTACGCATATGACAGATAGTATTGTTTCATGACCTTCCACTTTAAGTATTTCAATTGTTGTGCCCTGCACGACTTCGTTCAACAGCTTTTCACGGCAGCTCCGTGGCGCCAAAAATGGCAAGTTCGACTTTTAGGCTGGTAGTCCTGGCTCTTCCAAGCTGTTCACAAAATATTAGGGAATATATTGGGGTTATATATAGGGATGGTGAAAAAGAAAATGGAAACTACTATAGTATATTGGGGTTATATATATATATATGTATAGGAATAATGGAAAAGAAAAGGGAAACGACTATAATGGGTTATATAGGTTAAAGTTCGCTCGTTGCGAGTGTCGCGTGTGGGTTCTTTTTCCGTGCCTTTTGCTTTCGCCACATCACTGGAGCTCATGCCACCCGAACCACGTTTCTAGCACGTCGATGAATCATTTGCATGTCTTACAACTTCACCAAATGCTCCAACGCGTGAGGAGTCTGACTACGAGCCCTACCGTGCCGAGCCCTTGAAGCCGAATATCCTGCTAGATCCACATCCTACAACTCATATGTGCTAAGATGACAGTTTCCAGGATCCCGGGTTTGGTTGCTGATTTAGGGAGTTCATTTTTGGAGGAGGGTGACACCTTGCCATACAAGAATTCCTGACATGCATCCTTCGGTGCAGAACAACAGCCGAGTTGCTAAGCGGACACCATGAAGATTCGACAAGCTGCACGGGAGACACCTGAACAGTATAACCCCCATTATAGTAGTTTCCATTCTATTTTCCATTATCCCTATATAACCCCCATGTAACCCGTGGCCCCAAGTCCTTGGCCGACCATTAGCCCCCAGGACCTTGACTTGACCCTACAAACCCTCAGGCACCCAGCTGTAAATCTTTGCATCGAACATCATTTACTCAACTTCTAACAGCAATGTTGGAGAGCAAGAACACCAAGACGTCAAGAACGCACCAGGTTACCAGGCCCTCAACCCCAAAGCCCCAGGTCCAAAAGCGTCCTGGCGTCCATGCGCGAGCCCTACAATCGCTTCGTGTACAGGCCCCTGACACCTCCGCTGGGAGGCCGGGCTTGGGTTTGGTGCACTTGGGTATTCTTATCTGAGCTGTAGTCTAAACTCCTTAAAGGGGGTTACATAGAGAACTATAAGGGGTGCTTAGTATAGGGCTTATTAAGGGGGATACTAGGAGTTCAGACTATAGCTTATCTGAAGAAAGTACATGTCACCATATTATATGGGGGGAAGTGCAGATAACAGGGAAACTGTGTGAGGACATTGCCCAAGCCCGCACCCACCGCAAGCGTCAAGCTTCCTGTGATGAGGTAGTATGACCATTACTTCTACTGTTATTATTGTCATTATTATTTACGATTGTCATTATTTTTGTTATTCTTATTCTTATTATGATCATTATTAGGTCAATCCCCCCTGTAGTAATAGCTCCTTAATATGGAGTTCATAGGGCCTTAATATACCTGCAATAGTCCCTTGTGGTACCCATTACTGGATGGGGGATTGACCCAAGATCATTAGCATTATCATTGTTATTCTTCTGTGGTGAGGCAGCCTGATCACTATGAACCCGCCTCCGCCCAAAGATCACCGGGCTCGCAAAGCGACCCTGGCGCGCAGTCGGCCAAAGGCAAGGCGATGTCAGTTGAGGGGCAGGGTGTTGCGGACAATACATTTTCAGGGTTTAGGGTTTAGGTTCCAGTAGGGCTTTGCTCAGAGGTACTTTGGACAGTGCTAGAATGACAGTAGAACTCCTACGCTAATGTTGAAGCATCACAGGTTGGAATCGTTTTCTAGGACGTGCTTACAGCCAACCATCTAACTGTGGCTATTTGAATGTGGTAGTTTCCGTAAATAGGGGGACCCCTATATAGACCCCAAATAGTATAATCCTTATTATGGCTTGGGAAATCCCCATGTCTCAGTATGGGAATGACGATAGCAGCCCACCAAGGTTGACAATTTACTAGGTTTCCAGTTTAGGGCTTAGGGTTCAGGGTTTAGGGAAGCTTGGGATACTTGAGTCCTAGCAGCCGCTGCGCTATCCCATGGTTGTGCTTGTACGAACCCTGAACCATCCTCAGCCGTAAGTCCGTAGTGGAGGGGCCGGCATGAAGCTGGCAACAGTTGGAAACCCCTAAAGGAGGATTTCGCATTTAGGATTTGTGCTTTGTCCCATGATGTTGCTTCGGTACTTAAGGATTGCCAGAGAGGAGCTCATGAATATCCGAGACAAAGCACTAGGGTCATGAGCCCAGCTGTGATAGCAACTCCTTTGCGGAAGATAAGAATGATTAAGTAGATAGGGTGAATTGCATAGGATTTCATGTCATACAGTAGGAGTTGAAACTTGGATCATACTGGGTCCGAGGTAAGATGGCTTGCCACATATGGAAAACCCCTACATCCTACGCGAAATTCTAACTCTGCACAAGCCCAGGGCTGTAGGGATATATGGGGCTGAAGTGAGCTAGACTCTAAACTCCTTGGAGGGGGGTATGTTGTGGATTATGTAGGGGAGTATCATAGGGGTTATCCAGGGGATACTAGGAGTCTAAACTATAGCTCAAGTGGAGGTATAGTAGGGTTACACTTGCCCTGAACCTTGAAGTGCACAATCAAAGGTGAAGACTAGGGCTAACACTCTACAGCAACAGCAGCTCTGGAGTAGTTAGAGCGGCGCTTGACAGACGTATGTAGTGGGTAAATTGGGACCTCAAGCAGGTGTCCTCCCTATGACTTTAGAAGGGCTTTGAGCCCCCTAAACCCTGAACCCTAAACCTTATATAATCTTATATACTATAGTAGTTTCCATTTTCTTTTCCATTATCCCTATATATAATCCCTACATACTAACGTAGTTTCCATTTTCTTTTCCATTATCCCAACCCTAGACCCTAAACCCTATACCTTAGACCCTATACCCTGCATGGACTCCGGAGAAAAGATCCGATTTTTAAAGAAATATACCCTAAATCCTAGACCCTGAACCCTAAACCCTAATACCCTAAACCCTAAACCCTAATCCCTCAAGATGCTCATGTCCGACCCAGCTGCTAGGAGCCGCAAGAAAGGGGAGATTCAAAGAAGAAGCAAGCCGAGCTTTGGGCCAAAAGTTTTGGGTTTAGGATTTAGGGTTTAGGGTTTAGGGTGATTTCATGGTTCAGAGGTTGACGATTCATGGTCTCAGGGTCAGGGTTTAGGGTTTAGATAGGGTTTGGGGTCTGGGTAGGGCCCTGAAATATTTAATCTTTCCCCTAATTGCTCTAATAAGGGACCCTACATACTAATATTTTTCAAAGGGCTCTAGGGGCCAACCCAGGGGTTTAAGGTCGGAGCTTTGCAATTTTGCAAACCTGCACGCAGACCCCTGGAAGGATCTTCAAAGTCGAGCCCCCAATATGGTACCCCATACTACTATTGCATAATTTCTAGGGACCCTTAAGGGGGAACTGCTTTCTAGATCCGCGCTGGGGTCTGGGCAATTTATTGCGGAGGTGAGGAGCCTGCGGGTGTCAATCCAGATCACGTACCCTTCCTGGGATGGATATTTTCACACATGCAAGACCTGCAGTCTATTATCCTTGCACAGTCTAGTATGCCCCGTTTCTGAAGTATACCTGGCCCCCAAACCCTAAACCTTCTGTAACCGGTATATACTACAGTAGTTTCCATTTTCTTTTCCATAATCCCTATATATAACTCATATATAACCTCAATATACTGCACTAGTGTCCATTTTCTTTTCCATTATCCCAATATTTTGTTAAACCCGAAAGCGTGTACTGCATCGCAGTGTCTACACCCAAGAAGCACAAGTTTCCCCCACCTGGGCCCCCAAAAAGTGTAGAACGATGGCCCAATGCCCCAAAACCTGCCAAAAAGGCCACTATTCTACATACTTTGGGGTTTAGGTAGAAGCTGGAGTTCCGTCTGCAGGCCCCAGGCGCCCTTGCACACGGATTGTTACTCGTACCACATTGAGGGCATGCGGCTGATCGAAGCGCTGAAGGATCAAGATGCTAATCAGCGCAAAAGAGCTGCAGAGGCCTTGTTCAAGATGGGTCCAGCAGCAGGTGAAGCTGTGCCGCAGCTGCAAGATCGAGATGTTAATGCGCGCAATTCTGCTGCAGAGGCCTTGGGCAAGATGGGTCCAGCAGCAGGTGACGCTGTGCCACGGCTGATCGAAGCACTGAAGGATCCAGATGTTATGTGCAGAGAAGCTACAGAGGCCTTGGGCAAGATGGGTCCAGCAGCAGGTGAAGCTGTGCTGCGGCTGAGCGAAGCGCTGAAGGATCCAGATGGCAATGTTCGCAGCTCTGCTGCAGCAGCCTGGGGCAAGATGGGTCCAGCAGCAGCTGAAGCTGTGCCGCAGCTGATCGAAACGCTGAAGGATCAAGAGTCATTTCTGCGCAGACAAGCTGCAGCTGCCTTGGCCAGGATGGGTCCAGCAGCAGCTGAAGCTGTGCCACAGCTGGTCGAAGCGCTGAAGGATCAAGATGTTATTGTACGCAGAGAGGCTGCAGCGGCCTTGAGCAAGATGGGTCCAGCAGAAGCTGAATCTGTGCCACAGCTGATCGAAGCGCTAAAGGATCAAGATTTCTTCGTGCGCAGTTCTGCCGCAGAGGCCTTGTGCAAGATGGGTCCAGCAGCAGGTGAAGCTGTGCTGCGGTTGATCGAAGCGCTGAAAGACCAAGATGGTCATGTGCGCAGAGAAGCTGCAGCAACCTTGGGCAAAATGGGTCCAGCAGCAGCTGAAGCTGTGGCGCAGGTGATGGAAGCGTTGAAGGATCAAGATGTTAATGTGCGCAATTCGGCTGCAGAAGCCTTAGGCAAGATGGGTCCAGCAGCAGGCGAAGCTGTGCCACAGCTGATGGAAGCCCTGAAGGATCAAGACTCATGTTTGCGCAGAGAAGCTGCAGCGGCGTTGCGCAAGATGGGTCCAGCAGCAGCTGAATCTGTGCCGCAGCTGATCGCAGCGCTGAAGGATCCAGACGATATTGTGTGCAGAGAAGCTGCAGAGGCCTTGTGCCTTTTGGTGGGTCCAGCAGAAGGTGAAGCTGTGCTGCGGCTGATCGAAGAAGCGCTGAAGGATCAAGATGATCATATGCGCATGTTTGCTGCAGAAGCCTTGGGCAAGATGGGTCCAGCAGCAGCTGAAGCTGTGCCGCAGTTGATCGATGCGCTGAAGGATCAAGATCGTTATGTTCGCAGTTTTGCTGCAGCAGCCTTGGGCAAAATGGGTCAAGCAGCAAATAAAGCTGTGCCGCAGCTGATCGAAGCGCTGAAGGACCATCATGTTAATGTGCGCAGAGAGGCTGCAGAGGCCTTGGGCAAGATGGGTCCAGCAGCAGCTGAGGCTGTGCGGCCGCTGGTCGAAGCGCTGACTGACCAACATGTTACTGTGTGCAATTCTGCTGCAGCTGCCTTGAGCAAGATGGGTCCAGCAGCAGGTGAAGCTTTGCCGCAGCTGCTCGAAGCACTGAAGGATCAAGATGTTAATGTGCGCAGAACTGCTGCAAAGGCCTTGTGCCTGGCGGGTCCAGCAGGAGGTGAAGCTGTGCTGCGGCTGACTGAAGCGCTGAAGGATCAAGATTGTTTGGTGCGCAAAAGAGCTGCTGAGGGCTTGGGCAAGATGGGCCCAGCAGCAGCTGAAGCTGTGCCGCAGCTGGTCGAAGCGCTGAAGGATCAAGATGTCAATGTGCGCAAAAGAGCTGCAGCTGCCTTGGGCAGGATGTGTCCAGCAGCAAATAAAGCTGTGCCGCAGCTGATCGAAGCGCTGAAGGACCAACATGTTAATGTGCGCAGAGCTGCTGCAGAGGCCTTGGGCAAAATGGGTCCAGCAGCAGCTGAAGCTGTACCGCAGCTGATCGAAGCGCTGAAGGAACAAGATTTTTTTGTGCGTTGTTTTGCTGCGGAGGCCTTGAGCGAGATGGGTCCAGCAGCAGCTGAAGCTGTCCCGCAGTTGATGGATGCGCTGGAGGAGAATCATGACGTCAGAGCCGCCGAGGCCTTGTCTAAGATGGGTCTAGCAGGCGCTTCCGTTTTAGGGTCTGCAGATGTGCGGAGGAGGCTTGTCCTCGTTCTTGCGCGAATTGGTGATGCGCGAAGCCCAGCCCACGGGGCGGTGTTGCAGCTTCTACTGCCGCTCAGTCAGCAATGTCAAGACTCCGCGGATCCAGTTGTGGCCGCTGCTCTTCTGCAGGCGATATGGCTCAGTGACCGCGATGATGTTGTGCGGTCTGCTGTGAAAGCTCTTCCTAAGATCCTGAAGGCAGTCGAACTTAGCACCTTAGAGTTGCGTGGCCTGGTACAGCGAGCCTGCCGCATGGTGCCGGATGCTGTAGTGGAATGCGGGCTGCTCCAGCATCTGGGAATTAGGAGTCCCCACGACTTCCCTGGTCCAACGGGGCAAGACATCAGCCAGCCAGACCCGAGCGAAGTACCTTTGACCTTCTTTCTCAGCGACAGCTTCGCCCACAACACAGCCACGGAAGCAGGACTCTCTCAACGGGCAGCCTACATTTCCGCAGGCAGTTCCGATTGTGAACCGCCGTTGCAGCTGACTGCCCTTCAGATGGGTCAAAGAAACGCAGCAAGTACTGCCTCTGAAGGATGGTGGGCCGACTGCACGTCCACACACTCTGACGGTTCCTCGGAATTCTGGCAGATTTTTTCCTTTCGAGAGGTCTGCTCAATGTGTATTTACTTAGACTCCACGGAAGGGCGGCTTGGAAAGGAAGGTGGCTAATGCGTTTCCAGCCCTCTGCGTCACATCAGGTAACGAGAGCTCCTTGCATGGAGACAAGACTTCCTAAAAAGACATGAACCGTCAGTGTCGGAGTGCGTGATACGCCATGGCCTCAGTAGACCAGCTGTTTGTCGACACCGATCCCCTAAACACCAAAGCCCAAACCCTAAAGCCCTATATAAACTGTTTTGTTGTAGAAGTGGGACGTGAGATCTTTCAATTTTGAGGTTTGAAAAGTTTTGTAGCTGTGGCCAAGCAAATTGCCTGCTGGCTAAGTATCTATGGTTTGGGCCCTGGACCGGATGCCAATCCTGTAGGTCAAAGTCGGGAAGTGGGGTCCAGGGCTAAGGGCTGTAGGCATTGGATTCCCGTGCCATCTGCTTCCAGGCCCTTGCTGTTCCTGTCTTCGCAAAATCCGATGCTGCTTTTCAATGTTTCCAAGCTGGACTTTCTTCCGAACCTAAGAAAACTGCCGGGGGTCATGAGCCTGCAAACCCATGCCAATGGCACCGAGTAACAGGGTCTGGGAGACTCAGCCAACCTGTTTTGCGCAAATCTTATTGGGGGCTAGAAGGGAAGAAGGGAATACAGTATACAGGGATTTTATTCCCTTATTCCCTAAGCATGGCAGTTTGCGTATCTGGCGAATCTCCGATTTAGAGCAGCCTTGCGCGCTACTGCATGCTGCAACCTGTGCCGCTATGACTTGCCGGGGCTTTTCTTGTTCCGTAAATTTACTTGGGGTTGGTAGGGAATGAGGGAATGTATTATATAAGGATTGCATAAGGGTATTAACCACCATTTCGTAAAAGACATGGGAAGATTTGGTTCGGGTATTCTCTCAGCAGATGTCTGTGTATATACACACACGCACGTTCACTCATTGACGCGCGTTCATATGCTGCTTTGTCTCTCGTTTTGAGGCGGCAACTGGCATTGGCTGCTGGGCCTTCTGTTTCACGCGTTTATTATGCGTAGGCATTGGGTTGCACTTTCAGTGCCCAGGGGCAGTTCTGCCGCTCATTTTCAAGCTAGCTGTCCTCTATGTGCAGAATCTCGACAGCATGCCTGCTATGGACATAGCCGCGGTGGAAGGGCACCGCCCCTTCTGTCACAAGGCTAGATGGCTTATTCTGAAAATTAGTGTCCCATTGTGGTTCAAGATTCTACTACGGCACCTAATATTTAGGGGTACCAAAACGGGACCCTAATTTTGGGAAGTACCCAGATCCGGATGGATACCATCCGCTTATCGTAGCTGAGGCACGGAGCTGCAGAAAAGCCTGACATCCCCTAGAGCCCAGGAGCCTCGATTCAGACATACGGTTCAGCGTTTAAGGTTTGGGACCCCAACTCCCAATCCAACTGAGGTCTCCTTAAGCTTCAAAAAAAGTTTCAAGAAAACTTCGAAAAAAACCCAGGTAATGCCGCAGGCAGCTCAAGGAAGAGGAAGGGGGTCACCCTGATCAAAGCTCCAAGGGGTGCTTATGAGTTATGGCTTTGGGATACATGCGGAAGGCCCCCATTTGCAGACCTACCATTGTTGATGCTGGTGGAGCTACTGTCAGAACTCGTCATTCAAGTGCCCGGGCAAGAGCTGCAAAAGTCTCACTCAACCCTCGGAATGGTCGCTCTGAAGGTTCAGAAACATCCCGAAACCCTCGCGCCTAAATCTTGCGCACCGCCCCAAGGAGAAGAAAGACTCCGAAGACAAGGAGGAAGTAAAGGCAACACCCGCTGCGCTGCATACTGGCGGCGTGCCCGGCACGATTGTTTGCAACCATTGTGTGTCCTGTGTTGGGCACACCGATAATCCTACTGAATATGCTGCGGGCACACTCGTATTGAACCCTATAATTGCTCCATGGTACCGACCCGATACTTGCCTGGCACATAACTTCTGCTGGGGCAATGTGGCCCTCGTTGGGAGCAGCTAGCTGTACTATAACTCCATGTACAACAGCTGCAATTCTGTCATTGTAGGCATAAGCCAAGAATACATTCTTGGAGACTAGGTGGCTTGTAATTGGATGATACGAACCCTAAACCCTGAAACCCTAAACCCTTAAACCCTAAACCCCTAAACCGTAAACCCTATATTAGGAGAGAGCTTTGATTGGCAGGCAGCGCCTACTGGCTGCGGGGCCCCAAGCTCTCAGGATCCTTCCGAACTTAGGAGGCTATTAGGGTATATTATCGTATATTATAGTACGTATATTTTAGTATATTATGGTGTGTGTGTATATAGTATACTATACTAGGGCTTGTTGGAGACTTTGTCTGGAGGACTCTACTGATTTGGAGTATACAAATGTGGTCTTATGTGGAGGACAAGGGCTCCTGGCGTTGGACGGCTGTTGGCAGATATCAGTGCATCTGGGCTAAAACTGCACAACTAGGTTGGACTAGACTACATTCGTGTGTGGGTGCATGAACAACCTCGCAGTTGTGCCAGTGGAGGCCCCTGAGTCTCGGGCCATCACATTCATGAATGATTTCAGGCAAAAGCTGAAAGCCCCAACCATCAGTCAAGAGGCATTATCAGTAGTATATTATTAGCATTAGTAGTATACTATTAGTGTCATTGTTAATACTACTGTTATTATTGTTTTTGCTACTGGCATGCCTTGAAGGTGTCAGATTGGAGTCATCAAGCGTGCTCGCATGGCGCAACTTGATGTGTTTACTTTTCGCTGCCGTTTTGTTTTCCCAAGCTGGTGAAGGCATTCCCAGCAGCTTCACAACATGCAGAACCAAAAAAAGGATGAAGGAGCCCACAACTTTACATACGACATGTATTCGTGACTTCATTGTATGAGTCCCCCCTGAAACCGGGGGACCTCAAAGAGTGTGCCAACTCTAGGACAAGCCACACGTGAGAAATCCCACGACTACTCGCCGACACCAGTACCCTTTATGCTTGTAAATCGTAGTTTCAATTTTCTTTATTTGCTTTTCCATTCCGCCCTATAAGCCCGCAGAGAACCTTATATGACCCCCTCAAATGTTCTCCCAGTCGACGCGGCAACACTTCTTGGGCCGGTCCTTGCTAACTATCCAGACAAGCTTACTGGGGGTCAGTAGGGAAGAAGGGAATACATTACGTGGGGAGGTTTAGGGATTTTATTCCCTTATTCCCTACCAACCACCAGTTCCCAAACATTGGCCCTACTGACACCAATTCTTCAGTCCCGTGTCAGCCAGCGCAGTGCGTTGTGATTAAGCCTGAGACCAGTGAAGCCCTTGTAGCAGCCTCTCAGCAGGAAACAAATAACCTTCACTACCCAATTATTCAAATCTAGAACCATCAACTCTTAATCGCAAACCGCCACACACCAAACCCTGAACACCTAAGCCCTAACCCGAAAGTCCTAGTTCCGAGGTTTCCCTCAACTCCCCCTCGGCTGGCTTGCTGTTAAGGAATGAAAGTTTGGTTGGTACTAGTTGAGATTTTGAGATATCAATATACCCTTATGGTAACTTAATTTAAGGTAGTATACTGGGGAAGCCATATCAACTACTATATATATATATATATGTGTATATATATTTATATTCACATACCCAGTATTGTAATTTAGTTCAAGTTCCTATGTTGGGGAAACTACATTAGTTACCATACATACCCATTATGGTAACAGCAACCCAGCAACCCTCACATCAAGGGTGCAGAAATTCCGTGTGCCATGCGCGGTGTCGACTGGCGACGGCGACGCCTGCGGAAGCTCTGTCACTGGGTTGCAGTTAAGGAACTTAATTTAGACTACCATAATATGGGTATACAGGGTGTAGGATTCTGCGGTTTAAGTTACCATATTATGGGTAGATAGTAATGATCGAGTTTCCTCGCTGCACCAATTTAAACGATGTTGTGGGTATATAGTAAATACTGGAGCTTCCTTATCGGAGTAACCCTACACACAACCCTATATACGCCTGGCTATCGCAACTTCTTAAAGCGTTAGAAAGAAGTGCCTCAACAGCAACCCAGGTGATCTGCACCGAAGGCTAAAGGCCCTCTTCGCGAAGGTTGGGTCTGTCGTTCAGTGGGAACCTGGGGATTAGGGTTTAGGTTTTAGGGTTTAGGGATGCATAGTACTATCCACGTTTAGGGCCGCAGGTTTAGCACGCTCACGGGTAGTACCGTGACTATCAGGGGACTTAGTATGTAGGTTAACATACCCCTAAAAGCCATACACAAACCCCAATTATCCCCATTTTCCACCTACTTGCTACGTCCCCCTGACCCTAGAAGTATGGAACATGCTTGCGAGGTTATAGCCTCAGCCCTAAACCCCTAAACCCTAAACCCTAAGTTCGGGGCTCGAAACTGTGAACCCTGGATGCTTGCCACACGGCAGTTGTTCAAATTTTCTGTCCCCACGAGGACCATGATGTAGCTTCCCTGTTTGTTAAGGATCGCCTTTTAAGGAAGTGTAGGGCTTAGGGTTTGGGGAGTTCCCTGTTTGGTCAGGATCTCCTTTTTAAGGAAGTGTATTCCCGATGGTCCCTTCTTTACAAGGACCTTTAAAATAACCACCCCAACATCTCGGAGGTGGAGGCTGTTCCCGAAGAGCGGGAACGATGGACAGAAAGTTCCTTGGGCGATTGGTTACAAAATCTTATGGCTTTTCTACCAAGGCAGACTTCTCTACTAAGGCGCAAGGAGGAATGTAGAGTTCTGATTAGTCTAAGTCTCATCCCCAAAAATGAAGCAATTGGGTTGGGTTGGGGAAATGGTCTTCGCACATTGCATCTTTGACTGCCCCTCAACTGCCACCACCTGAAATAAAAATGATGCATCGACCCTAGCAATTTGTGTCATTGTGCATGGTAGGTTGTCAAATTTTGGTTTTTTCTGGTGTCTCGATTATAGTATGGCCCCGAATATTTCGCGTACCCAACAGATCCTAGTTTTGACTTCCCTTCATAAAGGCATGGTGCGCAAAATCCTACAGCTTGAAATGGTTTTGAGTCGTAAGTTAAGTCGCTCCTAATCCTTAGCCCCCAAATCTTGAACCCTCGCACCCATCCCTGAAACAAACCCGAAACCTAGTGGTTTGCTGTTAAGGAACGTAATTTATGTTACTATATTGGGCAAACTATATTGATTACCCTTTACACCCATTCTGGTAACTTAGTTACAGTTCCTTAACAGCAACCCAGCCTAAACCCTGCTCCCTAAACCCTGTTTCACGCGAAGTTGACTGTTAAGTTTGGAGATGCACGGTGTCTAGTGAGAGAGGGTAAGAGTACAAAGGACGCACCTGCTCCCGGGAGCTTTCGTTCGTGTAGCTTGCGAAAAGAGGTGTTGGCAAAAAAAGAAAGCGTTTTGAAGTCCCTGGCTGCGAAGATCAGGCTTGGATCTCGTGGGAGATCTTGCGCCGAGGCAAGTTGCTTGGACTTACCCCTTGTTTCAGGCGCGGGGCGCTGAAAGGACGGTTTATACGGGATTATGGAGGGTTTAGGGTTAAGGGTTTAGCCTTGTTCCAGGGACGCATCCCTCGTTTCAGGCTGTAGCCATAGGTTGACGGTTTAGAGTTGGGGGTTTAAGGTTTAGGGTCTGGTTTTAGCTTCCAGGGTTTGCGTGCTTTAGATCATTTGTCTGCTTACATCGCGAAGTACAGAGACCGCAGTAAGCCCTCAAACCTAGATCCCAAACCCGAATCCTAATCCAACCTCTGAAGCTCTGTATATCCGCATAACCCTCTTTCAAGAAACCCCCCTGAAGCCTCAACCCTACACCCTAAACCCCAAACCCGAAACCCCAACCCCCAAACCCTAAACCCAGTCTCAGAAATCAGATCCCGGTTCGAGGAGGAGTGGCGCTGTTTTGCTGGATACCTGCCAGAAGCCTTGCCACCCGAAGCCCGGGCGCGTTTCTTCCGCCTGGTGCATGATGGCGCCTGGGCCGGGGTTTAAGCTCAAAGGGATAAGGTTTGGGGAGTAGGGTTTAGAGTTGAAGTTTGGCAGGATAGGAACTGGAAGGGATAAAGGCTTGGCAGGCCGCTTTAATGTAAGGCATTGTCTTCCCTTACCTCGCCCACTAAGGATCAAGATAGCCAAAGCTCATTGTCTGTTTTGCGACTATGCTTGACTGAGCTTCTGAACCCAGAGGTATCCCCAAATCATAACACCCTACGCCCTACGTCCAGCTATATAAGCTACCGAAAACCCTAAACCCTAGTCCCTAGTCTAGTCTGTGCCCAACAATCCTTCAAGCCCTGAAGCTCTGAAGACCTTCCACCTCCTTGGGTCAGGCGGACTAGGCAAGTAGGCTAGTAGACCCCGATAAGCCATATGGTAACCCCAATTATTCCCACTATCAATTACCATCCCGACTTACTAAGTCCCCCTCCAATCCTAAACTCTACATGATTGAATAGTGCTCAGTTTCTCTTCCATTATTGCGAAGTCCCACCACCGAGGCACCACTTGGCTGCAGCCAAGCGGCCGGTGGGGTCCTCTGCCGCTACTGGGCTTCAATTTCAGGTTGTGGATGTGGCAGTTTTCATAAGGAGGAGGCCCCAAAGGTGGACCCCACATATTATATTCCTTTTTAGAGGGACTTCGCAAAAACGTGCGCTAATTTTTGGAAACCTCCTTTAGGGCTTGGTTTTCGTCTTTGCATTTGTGGCCGTGGACCCTTCACTAATGTTTTTGGGCGTTGGGCTCAGAGTTTGGCCGTATGGACCGGAGCTAGTTTCCAGTTTTCAGGTATGCGATTTAAGTCGCGAGTCTAGATGTTAAGGTAAGGGTTTAGTCTTAGTGTGTTGTGTCTAGAGCCCCTGGGCGACCAAGAAGTGTCTAGCACTGGATGTTTTCCCTCCTTGCTTTCAGAACTTTGCGTGTTGTGTTTCACGCACTTGAAGAAACACACTGTTGGGACGTGGTCCGGGCTACATGGGGGTTTCCATAAATTTGGGGGCTCCTTTTTGCTGGGCCCCTATCATACGGACTACACGGACTACGGCGACAGCATGTTAGGGTCTATCTCATGGCTCGCCCATGTACGGAAACTACCACATTGGAAAACCTTTTTCAGCCCCCCAGCAGCTGCCTTACCTTTTTTTGTATCAGATCCCAGGGACGATGAGATCGATGATGGTTTAGGGCTTAGGGTCTGAACCCTGAATCCTCAACGCTAAATCCTAAACCCTAAATCCTAAATTTACTAAACCCTAGACCCTAAACCCTAGAACCCTAAAACCCTAAAACCCTAAACCCTAACACCCTAAATCCCTAAACCCTTAACCCTAAACCCTAATCAAACCCTAAACCCAAATCTTTGCCCCAAACTCCAGAGCCAAACCTGAGGCTCAAGACGGCCTGGATGTGTCAAGGCCCCTGCAGCTGTCGCTACCAATACGGGGGCGCGGAGGCCAACAGACTGACCGGACCCCTCATACCGTTTTGAGATTTTTTGAGTTTCGGGGTTTGGGTTGAGGGTTTAGGGCTTGTAGGTATCAGGACTTCGTTGAACACTTGCACTCTCCACCAAAAGAAAAATGTGTAGCCAAAACATTTCGCTGCTCTTGCTGTTGCAAGGCGAGGTGGTTCAAAGCGCAGTAGGCAATTTTAGCCTCCTGCACACGCAATGCCTGTTATTCACTCCCTTTGACCGCCACCCTACCCGTGCTAAAATGGAGTTCTTCGCAGTTCTTCAGCTACCAGCTACAGGACGGGTCCATATGGTGGAATTCCTCGGAGAATGCAAGATCCCAAATGAATGTCTCCTTCTTGGGGACAGTAATTTGGGAGGAGTCCCGCATATTGTCGATGGAGAAAAGGCAGGCGCTCGCGCGCCCTAATTTGAGGTAGTGTGAGTGCTGCTAGAGCGTCTCCATCAACAAGTTCAACAGGCAGAAGAACAGGCATCCCTTTCTAGACTTCTCATCTTCCCGTTCTAGACTTCTCAATACAGCTCAAAGTGAAGCTAAAACAGTTGCACTCTCGAAGGTGCTTCCTGCAGCCTACCCAGATTGGATGGCCGAAGTGATGCTCGGCTGAAGGGGCTCTTTTTTGTGGCTGAGGGTGACGGCTTGAGGGGCCAAATTCAGGGTCCAATCTTTGCATCATCATTTTGGAATGGTCTCGTGTGCGGCGTGGGGTGCGGATGAGAGTTTGGTTCAAGGCTTAAGGCACCGAATGTTTAGCCTTCACCAGTTAGGCTGCAGTTGCACATGACTCTGCTGGCTTTTGATTTGCAAGTCTGACCTACGAACGCCATCCATGCAGTAACCTCGCTTGAGTCCAGTAGCAATAGGCTGTGAAATGCTGTCATATGGTAGGTTCCTTACACAGGCTGACCCTAATTTAGACCCTAAAATACTATAATTCTTATTATAGGGACCCCAAAAAGGTACCCCTAATATTGGGAAACCCTAAACCCTGCATAATTAGTACCCCCCAAAGCGGTACCCCTAATGTTGGGAGACCCCCACAGAGAGCCCGGAGATGTAGGATTGAAGGAGTTTGGGTTTGCAAATTCCGGTGTAGAACTTGGGTTAGAGGTGTTCTCGGTGATCAGATGTTCGTTCATCCCCCTACGTTTGTATACCTTAAGTTCCCTTGAAGGCGGATATAGGGGTTATATACTACCTACTATATGAGGATTATAGTATCTGGGGGTCTTATTGAGGTCCCCCTATATAGGGAAACTACCGTGTCCCGTCTCCAACACAGGATGTCGGTGTGCATGCCTCTTTGTGGCCTTGCAGCGCAAGCCAGTTGGCCCAACAGCTGCAACTTGAATCTCTACCAGGAGTGGCTTCCTTTGTGGGAAGATCGAAGGGTCGATATAGGAATTTTATGGGATTATGGGAAGAGTGTTTCCAAGACTGAAAAAGCATTCTTTGCGGGGCTCCAGATTAGTTTGGAGGAGAATAGAAGGTAGAATCCCCAAAGCAAGTCCCCATAATGGTATTGGGCAATTAATGGCAACTGTTGCAAAGATCCAAATTCTACATCCTCCAACCGGGGGGGGGGGAGTTGAGGGCTTAACGCCACCTCACCAGTTGATGTTCAGGGCTCAGGGTTGGGAGCATAGGACTCCCGAAGCAACATGGACATATAGGGTATATAGGGTTTAAGGCTAGAGAGAGCGGAAGGAGGGGAAAGAAGCTAGGAAGGGCGACGTGTAGTTGCAACTTCTTACTTTGAAGATCAAAGTCTCCTGCGTGACCTAAAGGGCAGTCAGCAGGATAAGGCCACTGACAAGCACAAAGCCTAAGCCTCCCTTTCGAGGTCATGGCAGTACACAACATTTGCAGGAACAGCACACAACGACTGCAGCAGCGGTAGGACTTAAATGACAACAATACTGAAGTTTGCTGGTCACTTCGCTTTCTTGAAAGGACGGGCAGCACTCGGTTGGCTGGCATGCGGACGCTGGTCTGCTATGTCTGCTTCAACGCTAATCAAACTCGCAGAGTGGAACTTGAGCCGGGTGTAGGGGCGTATTGGGTTCAGGGCTCAGGCTGTAGGGTTGGTTAATGTAACTTAAGAGTGTGCTCGGTTAGGGGTTTTAGTTTTTAGAACAGGTTCATATTGCGTGTCAGACAAAACGCGGAACTTGAGACAGCCTCTTTGGGAAAGGCATGATTCAAGTTAGGATGTCCTTAAGGGGGGGTGGTCCAAGGGGGGTAGGTAACCTAGTAATCCCCATTATTCCTTTATACTCCCTAAGCTTCCCTAAAATTCCCCAAGGCTCCCTTGTACCCTCCCCCCTTGGACCACCCCCCCCCTTTAGGATCCTATAATTGAAAGGGTTTCAGGCTCCTTTTCTGTTTGGAGCAGGAATCCAGTCCTGAAAATTGTCATTTCTTGGAATTGAAAATTGTCATTTCTTGGAATTATCCCCCCCCCCCCACGGCATCTAGAAATACTTGCCAGAAGACACCTGCAAAGGGGAACAGCTTTGAACCCCATGCGCTAAACCTCAACCTCAAACAATAAAACCTAAACCCCTTGGAAGGTTCCATCCTCAGTTTGGGACCTAAATTGTTTCTTGCAGTCAATCTAGCACCCCACCCACCATCTGAGAAACACATGATGGTTATAATAGGGTGTATATTGGGGTTATACAGGGATAATGGAAAATAAAATGGAAACTACTATTTAGGGTTTAGGGCTTAGGGTTTGTGATTAGGGCTTAGGGTTTAGGATTCAGGGTTGAGGAAATAGGGTTGTTTTCACACTGTCGTCCATGTAGGCGATGTTACGCTGCAAAAGCATCTCGGCCCCCACGCCTGCCACACCAGGATATTGCTTCCATTTAGGGTTTAAGGTTTAGGTGGACCCCCACCCTGTAATAGTGATTAGGAGGGATACTAGTAAGAATATGAGGGCCCTCTTATATTCCTATTATATCACCATTACAGGGTGGCGGTCCACCTATGGGGTACTGTAAAGGAGCCTACACCTGTTTGGGGTTTGGTCCCTAAAGCTCGCCTTGTTGTAGAAAGGGTTGCGATTTGAAGTTCCTTCGGACTTCTGAGGTTTAAAGCCTGAGCCCTCAACCGTGTTAGTTTGCTCACACTTAGGAAGTTGGATGGTGTTAGAGGTCGCCAGCAGGTGCAATTCCACCTTCCACTTTCTCCCATGCCTCGTTTGTAGGCATATGATGAATTGTGAACGAAGCAATCTTTCAGAATTCGCCAGCCGGTGTACAGCAGTAAGCCTGCTTCCGAAATAACCCTTTCTTGCCAAGGACAACGAAGCCCTGTTCCAAGGCAAGTACCAGGACTGCCTGATGATTTCTCGCCTTTGCCCAATTCCAACTCCCCTCAATGCGCCCATCAAATTCGTTTGTGTGCCTCACGCCATGAAGCTAGAATGATGGATATGTTCTCAGTGCGTGGTTATTTAGAACTTTCATCCTCGACGTCAGCACCAAACCCTATAAGGTACACTGCTGACTTGTGGACATTTGTGTACCTTTAGCGCAGGTTTAGGTTGTACGGTTGATCACCGAGCGACTCACTTCTGAAATCTTCCCCCCTCTCCAGACCTTCAAGTCCCTCAGCACCCCACAAAACCGATTCAAAGGACTGCAGGATTATCTCCTTGCCCCTGGGCTTTGCTTTGGCAGTTCCCCCCCTCAAACCAAGCACCCAGAGATGTTCACAGTCTGGGATCCGGATTCAGAGCTTTTGCCGCTTCGGGCGAACGTCGCGTGATTAAGGTTTAAGGTCTGACGCTTCAGTCTAGCAGTTGGTGGAGCTGCCAAAGCAGCCTGTCCTTAGTAGCCGTCCTATATAGATACTACAGTGATCGGCAAAATCCTGCATGCCCTTATATTCCTTAGCCCCAAGAAGTGTTGTATAACCATTAGACCATCCAAATCAAGACTGCCTGCAGGGAGTATGCCAGCTCCCGAGGTCCCTGGGTCAGAGCAGACGCTTTGAACTCATGTGCGGTCAAGACTTCCACAGGCTGGAGCTCAGCGATGGGGACCTGCAACTTGGACAGGTACTGTAGGCGGTTGAAAAATAAGTACCATTACCATGTTTATGTCAAGGGTTTAGGGTTCAGGGTTTAGGGTTTATTGTACCCTTTGCTATTATTATACCTAGGACCAAAATATTGGTTATGAACTAACTAGGCCCCTTCAGCAGATAGAGAAGGAAGGAGGGATCTGGCCTTGCTTGCTTTGCAAAGTTGGAAGGAATTCTGATGTGGATAGAAGAATGCATAAACCTGGAAAGTCTTCACCACAGTTGGGTGGAAGGAGGTAGCGTCTAGAAGCTCAGAAAGATGAGGATTGAAAGAGGCATGTCCGGCAATATTCCCTATGGAAAGACCCTTCAGTTCACGTTTACATTAATCCAAACAAGACGCACCCATAATTAGCAAGGACCCGAAGGGCACCCTGTACCCCTTTCCTGAGTACTTTGAAGTACAGTTGAGGTGCACAATGGAGGGCATGACCCAGAAGTGGTACAAGCACCGTGTGCCCAAGGAGTCTGGAAGGAACGTGGGCCCACGGATCAATCTTACGTGGAGGCGAGTGTTTGGCAAAAGTTGGGGCCTTCGTGCCTAAACCCTAATCTAATCCAAGTCTGTATTTGCCAGAATATGTTGTCCTTCTTCATCAATGTCCCATCTGATCCGCATGAGCATTCCTTCTGAAACTCAGGTGGATTGTGCAGCATCACGACTGTCCCTGCGCTGAAGCGCCGGAAGCCCCTGAGGTGCCGGCAAAGCGAAAACGCACTAGCTGTGCCTCGGTCGGTGGTTGGTCAGCATCTCACGGATAAAATGGTAAGTTCTTGAAGATGAAGATGGCGACAATGATTCTGACGGACTAACTAGTACTTGTGTTCGTTGCGGGCATGATCGCCGTGGTCGTGACCCTCCTCATCCTTGTCCCCCCGTCCTCGTCAATGTCGTCGTCGCCGCGGCCGTCACGGTCTTCGTCGTCCTCCTCCTCCTCCTCCTCCTCCTCCTCCTGCTCCTCGTGCTCATTGCCGTCATCGTCCTCCTCCTCGGTCTTTCTCAGTCCTCCTACCTCCTCCTCCTCCTCCTCCTCCTCCTCCTCCCGCGGTCCTCCTCCTCCTCCTCCTCCTCCTCGTTTTGATCCTCCTCGTTTTGATCCTCCTCCTCGTTCTCCTCCTCCTCCTATTCCTTCTCGTCCTCCTCCAAGTCCTGGTGTTTAGCTTGAGCCTTAGCAGCACAGCCAGCATCAGCAGCGCGAGCACCTGGAGTAGCACAACCGCCGCCCTGCAGCCGCCCTGCCGCCGATGCCGCGCGAATGCCGTCAACTCCGATGCTAGAGCCAGTACCAGCAGCAGCACAGCGATGGTACTGGTCTTGGTGCTGCTGGTGCAGGTGCTTGTAGCAGCAGGCTTGGGGTACTTTGCCTGGATGTATGTAGGGCAGCGGCCAATTTAGATCAATTTAGTTGCTAAGCCAGGTAAAGGTATCATGAGCCAGTTCAAACTTCAAACTGTTTGTGAAGTGCCGCAAGCCTTGAAGAACACGTAAGATGGAGACCCTGACAAACACCTTATCATCAAAGGATGCTTTGCCCATGTTTGCACGAGCCCAGCATTCAGTCTACCTAGAGCTTGGGGTACAGGATGTGTGCCTCATGACCAAGGTGAAGCTGACAAAGCTGCAGCAACCCATGGTGTGGAACCACAGCAGCGAGCGGTTAGGAGGAGACTGGCCACGTCAGCTGGGCCGTCTCATGAGACAAGCCCTGCCGAGAATGAAGCACGAGGAAAAATGAAGATTCATGCTCAGGCTTGCTTGAAGTCAACTATGTCATGTAGTCACGAGTCGTCATGAAGTCAATCCGTGAAAATCGAAAGAAGACGGCAGCAACATGAATGGTAGTTCGGTGAATCTTGAGTACAAACATCAGATTGGCAGCAGTGTTCATGTGGTCCGCTGTAATAGAAAAGGGCAACACTCATGGCAGGCGAGATGCTTGATAGTTATCATCATGATATTTCGGGTTGGATAGCTGTGTGAGTTACTTTTGATCAGTCAGCTACTGCCCAAGTCACGTTCTAAGGCCATTCAGGGGAACGGGTGCTTCCGGGAATGTTAGCTTTGATGTGTGGGGCAATCCTAGAACATGCCATGACTCTTGTTCTCCACATGCTACCTAGGCGTGGGCCCGCACGCGCCGGGCGGAATCCCTTGCAGCTGCCTCAGTCGGCGCGGGGAAACGGCCGCCCAAAGCAACCGAGGAGGGCAGCTTTGCCGTGGGGAGTGAAAGTCTAGCATTGTAGGGATTATATAGGGTATGTAGGGATTATAGCGTAAAAATTGAGGGTATATTGGGATAATGGAAAAGAAAATGGAAACTCTAGGGATTATAGGGACACTTCCAGATCAGCAAGCCATCCTGAGTTTGGCACATGCGGAGGATTTCGGGGAAGCTGGGGTGGGGGGAGATTTGAATCAGTAAAGTCTAGACAGTCATGTCGGATTTAAAGGGCAGGGCTTAGGGATTGCTGCTGGCCAGGGTCGTGAGGACACTCGGGACGCTTTTGGGACCTCCTACTGGCAGAGGGGTGTCCTGCTGCACGCCGCAGGTGAAAAATCTGCCTTGAAGACTTCATGGAGTTGGTCAGTTAATCAAGCTAGAAAGTTTCAAGCTGTTTGAGAGGAGCCCCAAGTGGTTTGGAAGGAGTTTCATATGCACCTTGGGCAAGTATAAGCCAAGCGGCCGTCCGTGCTCAGTTTATCTTTGACAGAGCCATCACTACCCTCTGCCTAAACCCACATAGTAGCTGCCATTTTCTTTTCCATTATATAGAACCCCAATATAAACCCTATATAACCCCTACATAATCCCTATAATTTGATATTTCGGTCTGGAAGGTGCAGGTTGGCGTGTGTGTTTTAAGGATGTTGAGGAAGAGGACCGTGCCCCGATTCCCGCATCTAAGGGTTAACTTTAGGAGGACCCCCCCACCTTGTAACAGTGACTACAAGGGAGTAAAGGATTATATTAGGGTCTTTTTTTCTTCCTAGTATACCACTATTGCAGGGTGGGGGGGGGGTACGCCTAAGGTTAACTTGATACTTGAAAGCTTTCAGGATGAGTGCACCAAGCAGCTAGCGGCGGTAGTTTGTAGTGGCAGCGGTGGCGGTGGTGGCGGCGGCCAAAGTGCTAAACTCTTACGACTAAACCTTAACTTATGTTCCTGGTAGGGAATGAGGGAATAGTAGACAGGGATTATACATAAGGATTAGATTCCCAACCCCAACAAAACCCTAACATTGCCTTATATAATCCCTATAATCCCCATAGTTTCCATTCATTTTTCCATCATCCCCATATAACCCTTATACTTATTCCCTATGACGAAACAGAAGGTTAGACTGTTCTCCCTGGTGCTTAGGAGGGGATGGGGAAATGGATTCTGGGGACTATTATTAAGGATTATATGGGAACTACTATCCCTAAACCCTCAACCCTA